TGTGTGTTACTTCAAATAAGTGTGCACTTCAATTCTTATTGTTTTCTACAAGACCATAGATCTTGTTGCATTTTTTTTTGTTGCTTTTTAAAACATTGTAAACTCATAGTATAAGTTTTCTTGATGGTGTTATCACCACATCAAGAATGATGAAAATAGGTAAATCATCGTAATATTTCCATATGGAGGGCTTAATTCTCAAAGCACCTTGAGGTAGGTAAAGATCAATGTTTTCCTCTATGGTAAATAATTCATTGTCTTCTCAAATGAGGAAAGGCGGTGAGGCAAATTTCTAAAATTAGATAATAGGTGTAAAGGAACTCGAAATTAATTGCGCTAACATTATTTTCCCCTTTACCAATCAGGGATCCCTACCTCTTTTACTCTCCCTCATAACTTATTCACCATTTGATGAACAATCACACTGTTTCCCCTTTCATCATGTGAATTAAATATTGCAATGCAAAAAATTTCCTCAACCTACTCTTGTTGTTGGCTCTACCTCACGAAAACAAATAAATAAATTGCTTCTTAGAGAAAATCACAACAGCAAAAGCACGTGCAATCGCTTTACGTTTTTATCATTTTTAAATTAAGAAGTGGGGCCTTGAAACAATTGTATAGTTGCCTCGGTGGAATCAGCCTATAATATTTGCATCAAGATAGGATGTCTACTTATATTGATGGAAGATGCCCCGACCTTGCCCAAATTCGACATAAATGAAAGATATACCATGCACCAGGCTGCCCTTATCATTTTGACACTAAATTTGTAGTTTGATTGACTACACTCCTTGTTATATAATAACAACTTATAAAAAAAAATATAAGCCTAATAATGGACTGAATACAATAAACATCAACATAATGTTTCTTCAAATATCGAGGATCAATATCTTTACAACTATTTGGAGTTTAATTAGCAAATGCTTATCTATCATTAGTATAATGTTAATTGAGGAATCAATGATCAATACTAAATTTTGCTCGTGACCTTAGCCTTATCCTGAATCACTAATGTATAAATTCATCAATGTTAATCTGTCTCACTATTGAAACCTAAACCCTCTATGCCTCATCTGAATGTATTAGCGGCTTAATATGCACCATCAAGAAACTTCACTTTAAGGCTGCTTACACATCACCCTACTTAGACACCACTTATGGGATTTCACTTAGTTTGTTGGGGTTGTTGTTTGCACTTTAATTTGTGCACAATAATGATATTGTTATTCTTGGAACTTGTAGGACAAGTAACATGATTATTCTTAAAGAACCATTTCTCCCAAATACCTCTGTTGATAAAAAAAAATGCAACAGATAACTTATAAAAGAGAGAGAGAGCAACAACATAGAATATTACGTTATTCCATTCACGACCAAGTACTCATGAGTAAAGCTTGGATTACAAAAGAAGTTTAATGCTTAAAAAGATCAAGAAGTAACAAAATGCATAGGTCTTTCCTCACGGATATAACTTACATGTACTGTATAACAGCTAATGAAATGCATGTTTTCTCAAGGTGCCGCCTTTCATTTTCCATGACAAGAGAAAAATAGGAAATCATGAGATGTTGATTTGATCAAGGAGTTTGTTGCATACTGTTAGGAATCTTCTTTTGAACTGCAGTAAATTTAATTTTACTGCCTATGTTTTAACTAAGACTTAGTCAATTAGTTGTTAGTCATGCTTTCCTATTTTTTAGGAGTTGTTAAGTGAACTGCTTATCGTGTGTTATTATTATTTTTTACTTTTCATTCTAGGCTCTTATATATATCTAATCTGAAGTATTAATAATATTTTACTTCTTCTGCTTCCATTCTTTTTTCTCTCTCTCGTCTTTTTTGTTTTAGGCGCAGTCTTTGATTTCCCTTTGTGTTATTTAGCTTAAACAGGTTTTTAAAACCTTCAATTGGTATCAGAGCTTTATTTCTTAAGGGACCTGTGTGTGTGGGCGCCAATCAGATTTTGTGAATACCATGAACGGAGAAGCAAGTTTTTCTTCAATGGCACCACCAACTTTTGGTGGAGAAAGTTATCGAATCTGGACTGTTAGAATGCAGGCATATCTGGAAGCTTTGGATCTCTGGGAGGCTGTAGAAGATGAATACATCATTGCTCCCTTTCCAAACAATCCCACGATGGCGCAAATTAAAAATCACCAGGAAAGGAAAATTAGGAAATCAAAGGCAAAGGCATGTTTATTTGCTGCAGTTTCATCCACTGTCTTCACTCGTATCATGTCTCTGAAGTCGGCAAAAGAGGTATGGGATTATCTTAAGACTGAGTATGAAGGAGATGAGAGAATTCGAGGGATGCAAGTGCTGAATTTGGTACGTGAGTTTGAGCTGCAAAAGATGAAGGACAGTGAAACCATAAAGGAATACACTGACCGACTTCTTAACATCACTAATCACGTCAGATTGTTGGGTTCCACTTTTAACGATTCAAGGATCGTTGAGAAAATCCTTGTAACGGTACCTGAAAGATTTGAGGCGACCATTACAACCTTAGAAAATACTAAGGACTTGTGCAGTATTACACTAACAGAGCTCTTAAGTGCCTTTCAAGCACAAGAGAACGACGTGTTATGAGACAAGAAGGAGTTGTTGAAGGAGCTTTACCTGCCAAGGATCAATATGATGGACGATATAAGAAAAAGAAGAACAAGAAGTACCAACCAATAGATGGAGAAGGTGCAGCACGCAACAACAAAAACAAAACAGGTACCTTCAAAGGAAACTACCCTCCTTGTAAGCATTGCGGCAAGATCGGAAACGCACCTTGGGCATGAAGCAATCATTTGTAAGAACAAAACTCAGCAGCAGGATGAAGATGATCGAGTTGTAAATGATCAGGAGGAGGATCAACTATTTGTTGCATCATGTTTTGCAAGCAATGTTTCTAGTGAGTCATGGTTGATTGATAGCGGATGCACAAATCACATGACTCATGATAAAGAACTCTTCAAAGAATTGAATCCTACTCGAGTTGCAAATGTTCGAATAGGACATGGTGGTCACATTCCAGTAAAAGGAATGGGAACTATTGCAATTGAGACACAAGCAAGTACAAAAACAATAACAGATGTTCTTTATGTACCAGATTTAGACCAAAACTTGTTAAGTGTTGGTCAATTGTTAGAAAAAGGTTTCAAACTTTATTTTGAAGATAAATATTGCTTGATCAAGGATCCCTCAGGGCAGGACTTGTTTAAAGTCAAAATGAGAGGAAAAAGTTTCTCATTAGATTCATTTGAGGAAGAGCAGATGTTGTATTCAGCAAAAGAAAATGTCGCTGAGTTATGGCATAAGAGACTCGGGCACTATCATTATCAAGGGCTTGTCAAGATGAAAAAGTTGAAGATGGTGGAGAGCTTACGTGATCTGGAAGCAAATTCCATTGAATGTCATGCCTGTCAATTTGGTAAGCAACACAGAAAGCCATTTCCAAAATCAACCCGGAGAGCCTCACAAAAGCAACAACTAGTTCACACTGATGTCGCAGGGCCTCAAAGAACTCCATCACTACAAGGTAGCATTTATTCGGTTCTTTTCATTGATGATTTTACAAGAATGTGTTGGATTTTTTTCTTGAAATTCAAGTCAGAAGTTGCTGGTGTATTCTGGAGATTCAAGAAATTGGCGGAAAATCAAAGTAATTGTAAGATTCACGCTTTGAGGTCTGATAATGAGAAGGAATAAACTTCAACGAAATTTGATTCATTTTGTGAGGAGGCCGGCATTGTGCATCAGCTTACAACACCATACACATCAGAACAAAATGGTGTTAGTGAAAGAAGAAATAGATGGATAATGGAGATGGCCAGATGTATGTTGCATAAGAAGGAGTTGCCTAAGATATTTTGGGCAGAGGAAGCAAATACCGAAGTTTTTATGCAGAATCGACTTCCAACGAAAGCTTTGAAGGATAAAACACCATTTGAAGCTTGGTATGGGTTTAAGCCCTCACTAAGTTTTCTAAAAGTGTTTTGTTGTGTCTGTTTTGTTCATGTTCCTCAGGTTAAACGTGACAAACTTGACAAGAAGGCAATCATAGGCATCCATGTGGGTTACAGTGGAGTTTCTAAAGCCTACAAGGTCTATCATCCTCAAACAGGAAAGATGACAATTACAAGAGATGTTCATTTTAGTGAGAATGAACAGTGGGACCGGAAGAATTCTCAAAATTTAGGATAACGCTCTCTAGAAGGAAACATCAGCCCTCCTGAAGAGCAAAAAACAGAACAGTGGCAGCAAGAACTAGAAGATGATCACCCAGTCAAGGGGAGAAGATTGTTGTCAGATATCTATCAGAGGTGTAATGTCGCCATCTATGAACCTGCTGGTCCCGTAGAAGCTTTTCAAGATCCAAAATGGAAGAAATCAATGGAGGAGGAGATCTTCATGATTGAGAAAAATAAGTGTTGGTCGACAAACCTGAAGATAGAAAAGTCATTGGTGTGAGATGGGTCTTCAGAACAAAGTTAAATGCAGATAGTTCCATCAACAAATACAGGGCGAGGCTTTTAGTTAAAGGGTACGCACAAATTTATGGTAGTTGATTACTCTGACACTTTTTCTCCTGTTGCAAGATTAGACACAATCAGATTGCTACTGGCAATAGCAGCACAAATGGAATGGAAGGTGTTCCAAACTTGATGTCAAAATCAAACCCTTCTTAAATGGCATACTGGAGGAGGAAATATATGTCGAGCAACCATCAGGATTTGTGAAACATGGTGATGAAAACAAAGTCTATCTGACTAAAAAAGGCTCTGTATGGCCTAAAGCAAGCACCAAGAGCTTGGTATAGTAGGATAGATGATCATCTGTTAAGCTTGGGCTTTGAAAAAATCTTATCTAAATCCACTTTGTATGTAAAACCTAAAGACACTGATATACTTATTATGTCGCTTTATGTTGATGATCTTCTGGTAACATGACATAATACAAGGCTGGTTGAGGAGTTTAAAGAAGAAATGATGTAAGTTTTTGAAATGACAGATCTTGGTCTTATGACCTATTTTCTTGGAATGGAGATCAAGCCAAGCAAAAGTGAAGTGTTCATTTGCCAGAAGAAATACGCAAAGGAAATTCTGAAGAAATTTCAAATGGAGGAATGCAAGTCGATGAGCAAGCCGATGAATCAAAAAGAGAAGCTGTGTAAAGAAGATGGAGCCGACAAAGTTGATGAAGGTTATTATAGAAGCTTGATTGGATGCTTAATGTATCTCACTGCAACAAGGCCTGATATTTATTTGTTGTAAGTCTCTTATCTCGTTTTATGCACTGTGCAAGTGAAATGCATTTAAGAGCAGCAAAAAGAATATTAAGATATATCAAAGGTACTATTGACTATGGTGTAAAGTTTGAGAAGTGTCCAAGCGTCAAGTTACTTGGATTCTCAGATAGTGATTGGGCTGGATCCGCAGATGATATGAGAAGTACCTCTGGCCATTGTTTCAACCTAGGTTCAGGAATATTCTCATGGTCATCTAAGAAACAGGAAATTGTTGCACAATCAACTGCAGAAGCTGAATTCATAGCAGCAACAGAGCAGTAAACCAAGTCTTGTGGCTTAGAAAGATCATGTATGATTTACATTAGCTATTGCAATCTCAAACAATCCGGTGTTTGACAAGAAGACCAAGCAATTCAACATCAAGTTCTATTTCCTGAGAGAAGTGCAGCAAAGGGGAGAAGTGACTCTAGTTTACTGCAAGTCTGTAAACCAGCTAGCAGATCTGTTTACTAAGCCTTCACCGATCAGCAAATTCGAGCTTCTTAGACAGAAAATTGGAGTTTGCAGTATCCAAAGCAAGGAGGAGTGTTAGGAATCTTCTTTTGAACTGCAGTAAATTTAATTTTACTGCCTATGTTTTAACTAAGACTTAGTCAATTAGTTGTTAGTCATGCTTTCCTATTTTTTAGGTAGTTGTTAAGTGAACTGCTGATCGTGTGTTATTATTATTTTTACTTTTCATTCTAGGCTCCTATATATCTAATCTGAAGTATTAATAATATTCTACTTCTTCTGCTTCCATTGTTTTCTCTCTCTCTCATCTTTTTTGTTTTTGGCGCAGTCTTTGATTTCCCTTTGTGTTAGTTAGCTTAAACAGGTTTTTAAAACCTTCACATACTAGAGGTGGACGAGCCTGATAAAAAAGATTAGTAGAAAATTTGATATGAGTTTCCATTACAATAGAGAATTAATTAATGATCCATGAATGACTAATAACAGACAAATATCGTCATACACTAGAAAAATTAGCATTCTTATTTAGGGTCAAAGTGCATTCTTTAATTAGGTGTAACCATATCTTAGGGAAAATATTTCATATCCTTAAACCTAGACATGAATGAAGATGACCTAATCCATATAAATACACATACAACATTGAGCTCATTTTCTTACGATGTTAAGTCAACATATAAGAGTAGAAACTACTTAGGTGAGCTCGCATGTACTATCAAGATCAAACACAAGATATTATAAAACATAAATTCAAGGTATTTTATATCAACACAAACCTTTTTTAGAGGGGTCTTGCACCGGAAGCATAGTCTTATCAAGGGTATTGACGATTGGTTCCTTATTCATAGTTTGTTCAACATTCTCTGCCTCATTCTGTAAGGAATAATACTTTATCAGTTATGTCAAAACATTAAAAGAAACTATTATTGTCTCAAAAAGTAAACATACTCTGGCCTCCCTTGGTTGAGACATATTTGGAATCTGCTCAATTTGGTGGCTGTAGGGTATATCAACATAGAAAAGAGTTAGAAATCATCTGATTCACAAACTTCAACAACCAAATGGATGCTTTCTCTATGTAAATAGGACAAACTAATTTTTGTGGTCAAAATTGTGTTGCAGAAAACCTAATGGAAACGTGATTTTTTTAAAGAACAAAATAGCACAGATATATCATGAAGTTAAGTGAACAAGGAAGTCACTATAAAATACATTATGTGCATAAACAATGGTCCATATTAGAAAATAAATAAAACATATTGTTGCCTAAAATCAGTTACAAATATTGCCCTCTGAGAAGAAGATGATGGCACAACAAAAGGGATTTTACGTACCACATTATCCATAGTCTGTGCAGCCTGAGAATTTAACCAAATCACGCATTTAGATTATTATATAGTAGTCTAAATAAGAGAGAAATTTAACCTAGAAAAAGCCAAGGAAAACCTCAGCATATGGATCTTGGGCATGCTTAGCCTGAATAGAGCTGAACATACTATAGAACGAATCCCACCAATCTACTAGAAATCCCTCCAGAGATTCGATAGCTGGACAAATAGCAGAACTAAATTATTGTACATTAGCACATCATATCAAATTAAAAATCAGTTACTATATTTTGCACAACATTCGAAAATAAACAATAACAATTAATACATTTCTATAAACACGAAAAGAGTTGTTGAGCATGAATTGACCCTCACTAATTGAACCATAAAATTCAAAGAATTACATCAACTATCATTCCCTCCAATCTATTTCTATGGATACTTTTTGTATGTTACACTTCCTTTAAACCAATTTTATGTGACACACTTTACTTATGAATTTATCCCCCCAACACTGTAACATTTATGTATTTAAAAATAATTTTAGGTTTAAAATCCTCATGTTAATATGATATTTTGTAGGCATACATGTGTAAACCTTTGTTTACACCACATGTTTCAGCAGTCCTCTTTTCTTTCTCTAATTTTTGGGCCCGATGACACATAAATTTGAATAAGGAAGGTATAAGCTTAATTTGAGAAACTATATAACTCTTTTCATGCATGATAAAGATGGTTCTCTCTGAATATCCTAAGATTATCATGAAATTGAAAGAGTATACTTTCATGTTTACTCAACTCTCCAAGTATGCTCAGACAATGGTTGTTGTCTCTAGGGCACGCATGAGTTAGTTTGTCTATGGTATTTTTGAGATTGTAGAATGTAGAAATGTGATAATGGTCAAGGAGATGGACATCTCTTTCCTGATAACTCATTCTCAAAAGATCGAGGAGGAAAATATAGGGATAAAAAGAGGGCTAGAATAGATAGTGTTGACTACTCTTAATATAGGTTAGGAGGTGGTAGTCAATCTCTATTTCATCAGAAGTACTCAATATCGATCCCATATTCTACTAAATCTCTAGCTCCTACGTTGAGAAAGCATAACAAGGATTGGCACCAGGCTCTAAAACATAAGGCAATGTTACTAGTGGTCACACTTTCTAGTGTGTCAGAAGTGTTGTAAGAATAATCCAAGAGAGTGTATGATCGGTATTGTTTGGTATTTTGGATGTTGTATGACATGTCAGAGTCGTGTTAGGCATTCTAAACGAACTAGGAGTTCATGTTCTCACTTTTCTTTATTTTCCAATCTTGAAGCTCTCCTCATATTAATGCAGATTAAGGGATTGCCCATTGACCATAGGAAAGGGCAAGGATATCTGTTAGCCATCTCAGCCTAATACTACAATAGCTCTAGCAGGTCACCTAAATAAGCAAGGTACCTCATCTAGAACTAGTGGTGGTTAGCATAACAACTTCTATGCTCTTCAAATTCGTTAGGATCATGATGGTTCCAATGATATAGTCACTAGTCTGTTATGAGTCTTTAAAATTGATGTTTATGCATTGTAAGATCACATTTTCCTCTGTGACTCGTATGTTGCTGTGAAATTTGATGTTATTCCCGAAATCCTATCAGAACCCTTCTCAATGTCTACTCTTATTGATGACACAATCTTAGCTAAACGGATATACAGAAATTACCCAAATTCCATCTTTCACAAAATCACCTCAACTGAGCTAGTAGAGTTAGCCATGCTAATTTTGATATCATTCGCGACATGGACTTGCTACTCACTTGTTATGCCTCAGATGGCTGTAGAACATGAATCGTTATATTTTAATTTCCTAATGAGTCAATCATAGTATGGAAGTATAGTACTTCATTGCCGATAGGTCGGTTTGTCTCTTACCTTAAGGACATAAAGATATTTTATAAGAGTTGCATCAACCATCTAGTTTGTTTTAATGATTCCATTTTCAAAATCCCAAGAATTTAGTCAGTCCATGTAGTGAATAAACTCCCAGAAGTGTTTCCTGAGGATCTTCCCGTATTTAATCCCAAAAGGGAAATTATCTTTGGTATAGTCATTCTTCAAAATATGGAGCCTATTTTAGTCCTTTGTTATAGAATGATTCCGGATAATCTTAAGGAGTAGAAAGATCAGTTAAAGGACCTTTTAAACAAAGGTTTCATCATACCCAACATCTCTCCATCGGGAGCTCCAGTTCTCTTTGTGCATAAGAAATATTATTCTATCACAATGTGCATAGATTCATGCATAACCCTCCAAAATCAATCTCTTCTCTCTCAAGTTTTCTATCAAGCAAATCTAGGGTTCCAAGCTTTAAGTCTCCATTCAAGGAATTCAAGCTAGGGTTCTTCATTCTAGATATGTTGGGATTTCATCAATGGATATCCCTTCACCCATTGAGTCCCAAAGAACTTCAATTTTTTTTTTTATTATGAATTCTCCAACCCTAGGGTTTCTATGATTTTATGGGTTTTTACTGTAAATCAATTATTCTACATAAATGATCATTAATTGCATGTCTTACTTATGAATTTCATGTTTTAAATGCAATTTTCATGAACACATCAATATCAAGTGTTTTCACTACTTCAAATTATGCTATGATAGATGCATGTCTCAAATTATTTTGCTTTTCATGATTTATTATGCTTAATATAAAGTATCTTTCAGTAAAAAAATTAGTTTTCATAATTTATGAGCTACTCAGTATTTATGAGTTATTAGTGTGAATCAATATTATTATATTATTGTTGATTCCGTTTTAATTGCATATTTCCATGAGAGTTATACTTAGCACCAAGTGGATTAAAGGATGAAGGATTTCAGTCCACATCTGTGGACCTTAATTTGCAATCTCTAAGTCCCAAAACTACTTTGATCATCCATAAAAGAATAGCCTAATGCATGAAACATCTTTGATTAACCCAAAGTCTGAGTAAGGCCCGCAACACAAATGGATATGACCTAGGTAGCCTATCATAACTCAAATATCGATGACTGATTTCACATCTCACCTTAAGTTACAAGCCACATGGAGACTACTTTTAATAAATGATAATCCGTTGTAAACTAAAAGACTGACTTACCATCATATATGGGAGTTGCAACATCAACATCATTGGCGAATGCCGCAGCAACCTCATGCATCCCCTTCTTCACAACGTAAGCATAAGGACACTTGTCCAACCTGAAGAATAACCAATAAAATCTCACTAATTTGGTGTAAATTATTTTCTCTAAATTATTTTCCTGATGAAGTCCCCATCAAATATTAATTAAAAGGAAAAAATAAATAAATATGACTCTATTCTATTTTATATTGGTCAATTTCATCCTTTCATTATACTTTTGTCCTCTCATGAACATACAATTATCAAATTGTCTCTATTTGTTCCTATTATTGGTTGAGCTCATAGTGAATATGAGAAAAAGGAGTTAATA